CCAACGCAATTAATTAAGTATTTACCCATGTTATGAGGTTCCTTATAGAGTTATAGCTTGACTTAGCCTATCGGATTTTAATTTTGCATCTTAAATAACACGAATGAATGTGCTCATGATTATGTCGTCTTGGTCAAGGTTGACACCCATAATTTAAAGTTTAGAATTCAACTTTATCATTAAAAAATATTACATAATTTAATGTATTTATTTATTTATTGAGTATTTAATGATAGTGCACTTACTTTTAAAGAAAAGTCATATTTGTGACAGTTTATGAATATTAAGACTGTATCTCTCAGATGCTCTGTCGAGTCGGGGTGTGGGGAGCCTTTAGGGTTGGGGTTCAACCTCTTAGAAGAATGAATATTAAGACTGTTTATTTTAGGCACACTAAAATTCTTTTTCTCTCTCTCTCTCTGTATTATTGGGAATATTATCATTTACCATTCTATCCGGACTCTTTGTATCCTTATAAATACATATCTTCATGTACTTCAATCATCATGGATTGATCAATAATAATATCACTCACAGAACTATCATGACTACAACGGAACACTCATCCGAAGCGCGGCTACAACAGAACACTTATCCGGAGCGCGGCTACAACGAAATACTCGTCCAGAGCCTTAATAAATGAAGTCGAACACGGTAACGTGCCATCAACGTAGAGACTTTCGAAACAGATAGTTTGAGGAAGAATGTTCAATGGATGATAGCGTAAATACGGTTGTATTATTAAGCGTATTGTACAAGGTACATGATTAGATCGGTTTTGGTGACGACCACTTCATCTGCCTGCTTGTAAGTTTAACTAATGAAGTCCGGTCAACGTGACAGTGGGTCAGAGGTTTCCGAGCCCCGTAGCTGTCGTGTAGGTAAACAACCAAAAATCCCCTCTAACATCAATAAATGTTGTATTTATAGGAAGCAAAGAGAACGACTTCCGGACATGCGGGCCACGTGGAAGCCATGCACTTGGCGTTGAGGAGGCTCAATCGGCGATAGCCGCGTGGATATAGATTCCTAACCATAGATGGTCGGCCCGACCTTCTTAGGTCGAGTGAGAAGGTAGCAGTGAGGCTTACGGGGAGATCCTTTACTGATGCTCGGTAAGCAAAGAAGGTCAGGGAGGCTAGTTAACTGCCACAGGGGGGCCCGGTACACCAGGTTGCCCAGGGCATATTAACCATTGATCGGTTAATATACTATACGGGCACGAAGGACGGGAAATTATCCCTATCAATGGAGATAAAAAGTGATGGGTTGTTTGTATGGTATTTATCGGGGCTATGGTTGGATAGACAATATCGAAGATGATTCATGAAGAAGAGGTTGTGTCATCGGCCGGCAGTTGAGAATATTATCATTTACCATTCATATGAGAACAATAGTGCTGGGAATAATCTTATTATTGATTAATTCATGATGTTTGAAATACATGAAGTATTTATGAGGATACAAAGAGTCCTAGTCACGATATGAATGATAAATGATAATATTTTCAATAATACAGGGAAAAAGAATTTTAGTATGCCTAAAATACAGAATCTTAATAATGAGGACTATATCTTTACTTAAATTAAAAATCAAACTGAATTAAACGAATTTGCAAAATGTCTTAACAGGCAGTGGAACTGAATTTTCTAATTTCAAATTAACCAAACTAGGTATTTTTGAGTTTAATTGGTTAGTTGATCAAATTAAAGCATTTTAGCAATAAAATTAGAAGATCTTTAAAATTTATAAATGAAAAATTGTAATCTATAATTTCATACCACAAAATAGTCATTACTGTTAAAATTCGAACTTCTTTAGCTCAATCTTCATAGATGATTTTAATGCAATCGTATGCCAAGAACAATACATATAAAGGAGAGAGAAAAGTAAAAGAGAAAAACTAGAAATGCAATAAGTATATTTTTATTAATAACCGCTTTTTATATGTACAAAGGGAATAACCTATATACAAACAACACTAAAATAGTAAAAAAATGAGATAATGGTCGTACATAAAATAAATATTTATAACACTATCCCTTAGCCATTATCTTACTATATTTATGTCCTCATAAAACCTTGCTACAAAAACTACGTGGGAAAAACTTAGTCAATGAAATTAATTAATGAGTATGCGATATATGTGAAATAATATGTTACACCGGTTGCCTTATTAAAACCCTTAGACTAAGATAAACCCAGTAGGGAAAAACATAGCTAAGGAAAAAATAGTACAACCATAAACATTCAGAGCATTATATTCAGGATTTCAAGAGTCTTATAGACTATCCATTTAAATACACCTAGAGGTTACTGTTAATAAAAATGATACTCGTGAAAAAGTTCTAAAACAATTATCTTTTACCCTTATAAGTTGTTAATGTGACACCCCGTAAATCTAAATTCTAATTGTGATTAATTAAGGAATTAATCCTAGCCTTCCTTGGTAATTTCTCACTAAAAATCCTGAAATTTGATAGTCGAGGGACTAGAATTTGACTAGCCTCCTTAGTCAACCAAGTGTACCTTTTGCCATATGCTTTGTACCTCAACCCTTTTGTCTTTCCAACCTTAGTAAGGTTAAAATTGACCTTTCCCATATGTTTTGTTGTTAAAGTTATCCCTGGCAAGACATTTCATTCATTTCCCATGCTAGCTAAATCATAAGACCTCCACATTCTCTCTACAAGAAACCTTAGCTTTCTCTCCAATCTAGAAGAAGGGTTCTCCATCCTTGCAAGATCTCACCTAAAGTTTCCACCTTTCTACCTCTCTAACATAGGAAAGGGTAAGATCTCTAGTTGTTTAGTGTTTTTAGTTAGTTTTAAGGTATCTTTATCTTATTATGGTGTTTTTCCTTGTTGTTTGGTTTGGTGAGGGGTCCTTGGTGAGGAAGAGCTTCAAGGTGAGGCTTAGGAGTGTAAGAAAGAAGTGGGTTTTGGTCTACAAAGGTAACCCATGCTATGCAAAACATGTTTTATGCTTGCTATTGATATTTCTTGGCTTCTATTGATGTTCTTGATGCGGTTTGTGAGATTTGATGCATGATCTTGTGATGATGCATGTTTAGAGCTTGTATTTATGTTTCTTGAATGCCATTGCTTGGCTTATTCTTGGGTTCAAGTCATATCTTTGTTTTTTGTGAGATTTTGGGTGTTTTGGACTTGAACTTGGCTTTGCTGATGAATTTCCCCGAAGGGAAAAATGTGTACAGGAGGTGTACCCCGCGGGCGGAACGGAGGGCAGTGGCCTTCCCGCCGCCCTACCCACGGGGAACATGGTGCTTTTGGGGTGTACCCCGCGGGCAGGCCCACGGGTGGGGGCCTACCCGTGGCCCCACCCACGGGGAACATATGCGGGTTGCGGGGATTTGTTCCCCGTGATCCTTTTCTTCTTGGTATTTGATGTTTTGACCTCCCGTTGTTGAATTATTGAGCTCTTTGTGAGTCTTCTTGATTTTCGTAATGTCTAGAACAATGTGTTAGGAATCCATGTTAGGATTTGGTGTCTTGAATCGTGCTAAGGGTCCAACCTTGTGATTCGTTGGACTAATATGAGTCTTGAAGGTTCGTTGGAACCATTTTGGTTTACCCGTTTTGATGAGCATGCTAGTTTGATGTTGTTATGCTAGTATATATGGTTTGTTACTTCTTGTTGAGGGTTGGCAACTCGTGTTGCCAATCATTTTGATGTTGGATTGTAGTCCTTTGTTGTTGAGTATTGCCTCATGTCTTTGTTTGAATCTCTTGATTGATTCTCATGTTGTGGTCTTGTACAAATCGTTGTACCCTTTGTTGATACTTGATTAGGATATTGATGAGCCCTAATCTTCTTGATGATGATGACTATGTGTAATTATGATTGAGATTGTTGGTAATATTATTGAGCTTTGCTCACGAGATCGGTGGTAATATTGTTACTTTATGGTACCATCGTGTACTATGAGATCGGTAGTAATACGGTTCTGATTGGTGATAAAGATTGGAGGGGGACGATGGTCCCAGGCGGAATAAGGTTGGACTCAGAAGTACAGGGTGACACTAGGAGGTAACGGTTGGAACTAGTGATAAGGTCGGGGGTAGCCATAAGGTTGGAATAGGGCATAAGGTTGGAACTTGGACCTATTATGTGAATTGTCATTATGTGATTGTTGTACTTCTTGCATTTGAGCATGTCTATGATGAACTCTACCTTGTGAATGGTAGGTTGCATCTAGAGTTGTGTTGTCCTTTGTTGGTTGTGGTTTCGGTTATCTTGTTGAGGTTGATGATCCTCAGTCTTTTTTGAGAGTATGTGATGAGTCTTTGATGTTGATCTTTCCTTGGTTTTAAAAATGACTATATACTATATTTCTCAGTCTCAAACGCTTTTGATTATATCTATCTATATAATATGCTATTTAATGTGTATTGATGGGTTACTAGCTTATTCGCTGACCGGGTGTTATCCCTTATCTTATACAGGTTTTGAGTAGATGGCGAGCGCGCTAGTGAAGACTCTTAGCTATTGTAGCTTTGTCTTCCCCATAGTTGTTGTCCGGCCTGTGAGCCATAGACTTTGGATTTTGGATTAGTTGTTATGTTTCGCCTGTGCATCTTTAGTACTTTAAGATGTGGCATAATATCCCCGTTTAGACTTGCGTTCGCTTAATGTTTAATGAATGATTAGTTTGCTTATCTTGCCTTTTAAGTTTTAAAAATTTTGGTAAAATCAGGGGTGTTACAGTTGGTATCAGAGCCTAGGTTTGAGCCTAGGGTGTTAAGAGTTCGACTCTAAGAAGCTAAGCGTGATTTAAGACTCTAAGTTGACCTCTAAGTGCCTAAGTGTTAGGACTTAAGATGCTTAGGACGCGCGGTGAGATGTGAGTTTCCTTATCGTTTGTTGTTTTTATCTTGTTGTTCTTGTTTAGTCTTAGTTTTCTCGTTTTAAGCGCCAAGTAAGGGTGCGGCGCTTCCTCGTGTTTTGCCGTAACCATGTTGTTTCTGTAGAATCTTGCTATGGCACCGCTTCGCCACCGTGCTCGTACGCCAGTGGCGCCTACAAATGAGCACCTGACTCAGACGATGCAAATGTTAAGCAACGCTCTCTTGCACAACAACAACAACCCTCCGCCGCCACCTGTTGGGCACCGGGATGTGGTCCGTCTAGTTTCAGGTCATACACCGCCCGTCTTCTCTGGGGAAGAAGACCCCGTCCTTCTTGAGGAATGGATTCGATCTTTGGACAAGATTTTCGTAGTGGTTGGTTGCCCGGAAGACCGCCGTGTCGAGTTGGCTACGTTCTACTTCAGCCATGAGGCGGATCTTTGGTGCGTGCATGAAGGCCCGGCGTGCCTCGGGGAACTAGGGTTCGATTGGTTGGCGTTGAATGATAAGCTGAGAGAAATGTTCTACCCGTCTCACGTGAGGGCAGCCATGTATGAAGAGTTCCTTCACCTTCAGCAAGGGACATCGACGGTGGTGGAATACCACAAGCGTTTCCTCGAGTTGGCCCGCTTTGCGCGGATGTTGGTCCCCACCGAGTTGGCTAAGGTGGAGAAGTTCGTTGCGGGGCTCAACTACGAAGCAAGGAAAACCCTGACGGTAAGCAAGCCAAGGACACTCAATGAAGCCTATGTGAGTGTGGCGGATTTGTACCGAGTGCAGCAGCTTCAAAGAGGATCTAATGAGTTGGCTAGGAAAAGAAGTGAAGGGAGTGGGCCACAAGGTTTCAAGAGGTCAAGGCAGGACTTTAGGGCAAGACCAGCTTCTTCTCAGTCGCAAGGATCGGCTCGGACCGAGGGAGAAAGGGAGACCTTTCGGATGTAGGAGATGTGGGAAGGAACACATCGGGAGGGATTGTCAAGGTAACATGCTCCATTGCTTCAAGTGTGGAAGGAGAGGCCACAATGCTTATGAGTGTCACCTCCAGTCCGACCAGGGAGCTCTACTGTCTAGCACCAGACCTGGGGGACCGCAATGATGCGATCCTGGTTGGCCCGATCTTCTCTTCACACTCTGACTAAAATAATATTTTAGAACAATTTATTAGGCTAGGTGAAATCTGATTAAAAGGTTTAATTTAGGTTGGGAAAAGGGCTAATTTTTTGATTTTGATAAGTCCTCGGCCAGACTGGGTTATAAGGTGATACGTAGGATTTGAGGCGACGCCACAAGTGAGGTTTCACACTTGATAAGTCAGGATCACTATGACTTGATCATGGTTGAACTCTCTCGAGTTCTAGAAAACACTCAGTTTCCTAAATCAAAAATTCTCAACTCTATATTTCATTATTTATGCAATGACATTAAATAGTCATTAACAAGCAGATTACAACCACATGAATGAGATAATTATTAATAATAGGATAATCTAATCATAACCAACAAACTAAGATAAACATAAATTATAATTCATAAAATTTTAACAAACTAAATCTAAAACAATTTCCGCCAGGAGGGAGTTCCAGCCGTGGCTCGGGAGGGACGAAGCCTTCGGGAAGAGTGTTTGTGATGAGCAGGTCGCAGGCTGAGGCTGAGGGCATAGTGGAGGAGGAGGCTGCAAGTATCTTTCTTGTGTAGGTATATTTCTTGTGCCTACCTCTTTATCCTTGAGTGTACCCTTTTCGTGTGTTCCCTTGTTATCCTTCTTTGAGTGGAATTATCTTCGTGGTTTGATTGTTTCTTTTGGAGTTGTCAAACTTAGTTTATAGTTTCCGAGGTTTTAAAAATATAAATATATGTATAATTAGGACCTCACCCTTAGCCTATTCCTAGGAATGGAAAATCTGAGTTATAGTTAGTGAAATTTGAACCCGGACTTTAAAATTTCTAAACCAATTGTGTTTCTTAAACCGTCTCCCAATTTAATTTCTTTTAACCTCTTCTTCAAAACCTACCCCAAAAATCCCCAAATTAAAATCTTTTTTTTCCCAATTTTTCCCAAAACCCTTCCCCTCTTCTTTTTCCTCACCCGTGCGTACAGCTGAAGAGAGAACCCCACCCCACCGTTGCTCTTCCCTTCCCGTCGCACCAGCCACCCGCCGGTCACCGCCCGTCGCTACCGCACCAGTCGCCGGAGTCCAATGCCGCTGCCACCGCCGCCTGCCGGAATCGCGAGGGAGCCGAGAGGGAGAAGGAGAGAAAAAGAAAGAGAAGAAAAGAGGAAGTCTTGGATTCTTTTCTACCATGCCTAGAAGGTCAAAAACCGCGAGAAGAGTGGAATGGGTGGATGCCCATTATTCGGTCCTTGAAGGTAAAGCTTTTTACCCCGAATTTTTTTTGAGTTCTATGTTGGATTTGTTAAATTATCAAGGCTTGTTGGATGGGTATCTTGCGGTTAGAATCGAAACCTACCCGAGTTTGGTAAAAGAGTTTTATCATCACATGAGTATGACAAAGGATGGAGGGAAATTGGAAATCACCTCGAAAGTGGGAGGTGTAAAGATTTCTTTGACCGAGAAACGGATTGCTCAGCTCTTGAGTTTGACGACCACTGGGGTCTCACAGTACAGTAGAGATTCTTGGATTGAGACGGATAATATGGGCTACTAGAATTATTTGAGTTTCTTGCTAGGTAGAACGAGTGGTTTTACCCAGGCCACGAGGCCAGAAAGGAAATGGCTCTCTGCTGAGCAGAAGATTTTGGTGATGCTTTTCTCGGATTGCTTGTTGCTTAACAACAACAAGAGTAGCCTGTTGGGAAAGTTGGAGTGCACTTTTGCCTTATGTTTAAAGCACAAAGTGAAGTTTAATTTTCCCTCCCTAATGTTGCAGCACATGGATTATTGTAGGGACCATAAGAGGTAAAAGCCTGCCTTACGGTATGGTTTTGAGTTGGATTTTCTTGAGAAAAGGGGTGAAAGTGGATGGATATGTGCCCAAGCCTGTTGGCAAGATGGTTTTGGATGCCGTGAATCTCCGGAGTTGCAATCTGTTTCAGTTGGAAAATAATGACTACATCACCTTGGAGGAAGTAACAAAGAAATCCCCTGCCGAGAGGAGCTCTTTGGTTGATCAGCTTGAGATTCCTGTTAGGAAGTTGAATCAAATAGTGCAAAGTTTGGGAGGTGATGGAGAAGAAGAAGAGGAAGAAGAAGAGGAAGGGGAAGAGGCAGAAGAAAATGACCCCGAGAGTGAAGAAAGCTTGAGAAGAAAAGAGGTGAGACGAAGAAAGAGCATGATGCTATGTCTCACAAGGAGCGTGTGGTGGCCCTTCTACGTCAGAAAAATCGGATGATCGAAGAAGGCTTTTCCTTCATGAAGGCTCAGCTGGTCACTGTGAATCAACGGCTGGATGTGCTGGAAGCTAGTTCTAGTCGAGGTGGAGCCGAGGAAGCTTCGGATGAGGATGCTGAGGATTCGGAGGATGATTCCTCCTAGGCTGGAGTTTGAGGTAACCCCGTTGCATTCCTTGCTTGTTTTGCTTAGTTGGAGCTTTCTTTGTTTGTTTTAGTGGTTGGCTCGTTGATAGTTGTTTGCCTAGTTGTTTTGCTTAGTTGGAGCTTTCTTTGTTTGTTTGGGTTGTTGGCTTGTTGGTAGTTGTTTGTTTAGTTGTTTTGCCTAGTTAGAGCTTAGTCTGAATGTGGTTTAGGCCTAGCGTAGACGGTTGGTGGTTAGCCTTAAGTTCTGTTTAGTTGATAAGTTGTTTGAGGGTAATCTCCGTTGCATTGAAGCCTTGCCTTACTCTTGATCTTTGGAACTCTTGTATGTTACTCATTGCTTTCTCTTGTCACACCTTTGTGCATTCTCTTGTCACACCTTAGTTCATTGCTATCCTTTTTGTTAACTCGTTGTGCCCAAGCTTCGGGGACGAAGCTTATTGTTAGGGGGAGAGGATGTGACACCCAGTAAATCTAAATTCTAATTGTGATTAATTAAGGAATTAATCCTAGCCTTCCTTGGTAATTTCTCTCTAAAAATCCTGAAATTTGATAGTCGAGGGATTAAAATTTGACTAGCCTCCTTAGTCAACCAAGTGTACCTTTTGCCTTATGCTTTGTACCTCAACCCTTTTGTCTTTCCAACCTTAGTAAGGGTAAAATTGACCTTTCCCATATGTTTTGTTGTTCAAGTTATCCCTAGCAAGACATTTCATTCATTTCCCATGCTAGCTAAAACCTAAAACATCCACCTTCTCTCTACATGAAACCTTAGCTTTCTCTCCAAGCTAGAAGAAGGATTCTCCATCCTTGCAAGATCTCACCTAAAGTTTCCGCCTTTCTACCTATGTAACATAGGAAAGGGTAAGATCTCTAGTTGTTTAGTGTTTTTAGTTAGTTTTAAGGTATCTTTATCTTATTTTGGTGTTTTTCCTTGTGGTTTGGTTTGGTGAGAAGTCCTTGGTGAGGAAGAGCTTCAAGGTGAGGCTTAGGAGTGTAAGGAAGAATTGGTTTTTGGTCTACAAAGGTAACCCATGCTATACAAAACCTATTTTATGCTTGTTATTGATATTTCTTGGCTTTTATTGATGTTCTTGATGTGATTTGTGAGATTTGATGCATGATCTTGCGATGATGCATGTTTAGAGCTTGTATTTAGGTTTCTTGAATGCCATTGCTTGGCTTATTCTTGGGTCCAAGTCATATCTTTGTTGTGTGTGAGATTTTGGGTGCACCCCGCAGGCGGAACGGCGGACAGTGGCCTTCCCGCCGCCCTACCCGCGGGGAACGTGGTGCTTTTGGGGTGTACCCCACGGGCAGGCCCACGAGTGGGGGCCTACCCGTGGCTCCACCTGCGGGGAACATATGTGGGTTGCGGGGATTTGTTCCCCGTGATCCTTTTCTTCTTGGTATTTGATGTTTTGACCTCCCGTTGTTGAATTATTGAGCTCTTTGCGAGTCTTCTTGATGTTTCGTATGTCTAGAACAATGTGTTTGAAATCCATGTTAGGATTTGGTGTCTTGAACCGTGCTAAGGGTCCAACCTTGTGATTCGTTGGACTAATATGAGTCTTAAAGGTTCGTTGGAACCATTTTGGTTTACCCGTTTTGATTAGCATGCTAGTTTGATGTTGTTATGCTAGTATGTATGGTTTGTTCCTTCTTATTGAGGGTTGGCAACTCATGTTGCCAATCATTTTGATGTTGGATTGTTGTTCTTTGTTGTTGACTATTGCCTCATGTCTTTGTTGGAATCTCTTGATTGATTCTCATGTTGTGATCTTGTACAAATCGTTGTACCCATTGTTGATACTTGATTAAGCTATTGATGAGCCCTAATCTTCTTGATGATGATGCCTATGTGTAATTATGATTGAGATTGGTGGTAATATTATTGAGCTTTGCTCACGAGATCGGTGGTAATATTGTTACTTTACGGCACCCTCGTGTATTATGAGATCAGTGGTAATACGGTTCTGATTGATGGTAAAGGTTGGTGGGGGATGACGGTCCCAGACGGAATAAGGTTGGACTTAGAAGTACAGGGTCGCACTAGGAGGTAACGGTTGGAACTAGTGATAAGTTCAGGGGTAGCCATAATGTTGGAATAGGGCATAAGGTTGGAACTTGGACCTATTATGTGAATTGTCATTATGTGATTGTTGTACTTCATGCCTTTGAGCATGTCTATGATGAACTCTACCTTGTGAATGGTAGGTTGCATCTAGAGTTGTGTTGTCCTTTGTTGATTGTGGTTTCTATTGTCTTGTTGAGGTTGATGATCCTCGGTCTTTGTTGAGAGTATGTGATGAGTCTTTGATGTTATCTTTCCTTGGTTTTAAAAATGACTATATATATACTATATTCCTCAGTCTCAAACGCTTTTGATTATATCTATCTATATAATATGCTATTTAACGCGTATTGATGGGTTACCAGCTTTATTCGCTGACCGGGTGTTATCTCTTATCTTATACATGTTTTGAGTAGATGGCGAGCGCGCTAGTGAAGACTCTTAGCTATTGTAGCTTTGTCTTTCCCATAGTTGTTGTCCGGCCTGTGAGTCGTAGACTTTGGATTTTGGATTAGTTGTTATGTTTCGCCTGTGCATCTTTAGTACTTTAAGATGTGGCATAATATCATCGTTTAGACTTGCTTCCGCTTAATGTTTAATGAATGATTAGTTTGCTTATCTTGGCTTTTAAGTTTTAAAAATGTTGATAAAATCGGGGGTGTTACAGTTAATGTTTTATGAAACAAAGCAGTTGTTCATATCTTTGTTCAGTTTTTTATTTTTTTTATTTTATTTATTTATTTATTTATTTATTTTTAAATTTAATGAGTAGATAGAGTTTGTATTAGCTGAAGGAATTAGTTTACTGGAACCTCTTGACAAACTTAAAGCATTGAAGACTGAACCAGTCAAGTATGTAAGATAGTTTGAGCTGAAGTTCAAGGCAGTTATTCTGTTGAAGATCTTTTTCGGAGAAGGATACATAACCCTTATTCCTTCATTCTCCAGACAGATTGATCGTGCATTACATAGAGAAAAAATCAAGATATATATATATATATATATATATATATATATATATATATATATATATATATATATATATATATATATATTTGATACCAAGAGCTAAACTGAGTGACTTGGTTGAATCTCACATCAAATCAAGTCAATCATCTCAATAATTGTTAATTGCAAGCTCTAGATCACATGAAGATAACACCTGGGTGCTGTAATAGAGGGGGCGCCTCAATTCGAGTGGTTTGGAGATCTCTTCACCGATTCTTCAAAGAAGATGCTTTGAAATGTTTAGCTATGGTGTAGTGTGAAGTATAGAGCTCTTCGTCTTGATCTTGTGACTCGATATATCGTTTCTCTTGAGTTGAATGGAGAATCAGACAACCTCTTTATGTGATACCCCCCCCCCCCCCCCAGACATAGGAGTGTTTATATCCGAACTGGGTCACCAATTATTGGTCTGATATTTATTGCTTTCGTATTAACTGTGATAAATTGTTTGGGTGAACTACACACTTCAATACGTTTCGAACTAGCTAGTTCAGGTATCACACTCAAATCGGAAATGTTAACCAGAATGTTTGTGCTCGACTCTTATCTTTTAAGTTGATCTTAAATTACTCTTAAGCAGTTGGGCTTAGGGTGCCCAATTTCAGTTATGTTGTCGCACCCCTGAAGACAACAATCTTAAATCTTTAAAACTTGCAGATCCCAATTTTGTGAACATATATTTCTCAAAAGTGGATGTAGGTAGAAACTCACTGAGCAATCTTGAATCTTCTAAACTTGCATATCCCAACTGTTAAACTCATAAATTGAAATTAAAAATATCTCAATAGACCTGGGACAAAAATTAAAACAAACATGTGTCTATGCATGCTCACACATATATTGGTTAGGGTAATGATATACACCCATAATTTATTTTCCCCACGGTTTTTTTCATCCTGACTTGGCATCATTTAATTGGTTTTTTTTTTTTTTTTTTTTTTTAGGAAAAATGACACTTTTTCTCCCTGAGTTATATACTTATAGGCATTTTTCTCCCTCAATTATTTAGGTAAGCACATTAGCCCCCTCAATTATTATAAAAGTGGTGGTTTTTCCCCCTGATATATTAAATTGACATTTCTACCCTTAAAGTAAACATTTTATTTATTTTACTTCTCCAACAAATTATCGCGTATACGTAGGGATGACCACGGTTCATATCAAACTGAACCGGGCACTATAGCAATTGAATTAAAAGTTTTTGGTTATGATTCAGATCTAGAACCTAATATTTGGATTTCAATTTATTAAAATTATGAATAAAAAAAATTGGATCTTGAACCGTGAATCGGCGGTTCTGGATCCGGTTTGCAATTTTGAACCGTCTTTATTTTAAAATTTTATTTTTTTATTTTAAATAGTCTAAATTGAACAATAAATATATTTTATTTTTTCAGTTCGGTACATGAATCGTCCGTTCCGGTTCGCGATTTTAATAAACTCTAAATATCGAGTTTCGATTCTAAATTGTAATTGAAATATTTCTGTTTGGTTGCTATAGTATTTGTTTGGTTTGAACCAAATTATTGTCATAATTTGTTGGAGAAGGAAAATAAATGAAATATTTATTTTAAATATTTATTTTAAATATTTATTTTAAGAGTAAATATGTCCATTTAACATTTCAGGGGGGAAAACAGCCACTTGAATAATTCAGGGGGAGAAAGTACTGTAAGTATATAACTTACTTAGGGGGAAGAAATGTCATTTTCTCTTTTTTTTTTTTTAATTAATCGGTTAGCCTATTAATGGGCACCTAATGATTAGGAGTCATATAAGAGGGGAAATATGAAAGGAAAAATTTAAATAGGCACCTAATGATTAGGAGTCATATAAGAGGGGAAATATGAAAGGAAAAATTTAGGAGGGACAAAGAAACATTTTTCTATTGGCTAACCAAGTTGTTAGTGTATATATATAGGAAGGAAAAGTTTTCAAAAAATATTGGAAGGAAAAGATTTTTTTTTTTTTTAAACGTTCATGATTTTTATCATATAATATTTGTTATATACTTTCTTAAATATTTTCAACCCAAAGAATCACTATACCATCATTAAGAAAAAAATAATTTAAGAGAGGAATAATATTCCATAATTTACGAAGAACGAGAGTACATTGTGTTGCAAAGAAACTAATGCAGCAGTTTTAGATTAGTCTCAGTGAGGATATGGAATGCCACACAAAAACAAAACTACAAATCAACAAATCTACAAGAAATTAACAGACAAAGAATTCAATTAATTCTTAGCTTTTTTTTTTTTTTTTTTTTTTTCCTGAAAAATCTTAAATGAGCATATATGCAATTATTGCAGATGAAAAGATGTAGAACTTTGTACAACTGATTGCTCCACCACTTGAGCCGCCGTCTTCCTCCTCTTACATGACACATTTTCCGATGATGTCGAGGAGGATGAGGAATCAGTTGAAGCCGATCTCTTCTTGCTTTTGATTCTAACCGGCTCCGGTTCACCTGAGTTGATCCTATGCGGGAAATTCAGCAAGGCACGTGCCCCGCGCATGCGGAACGCCGCCCTGTCGTATACCAGCGCCGCATCCTCCGCCGTCTCGTACGTCCCCAGCCACACGCGGGCCCCGTTCTTGGCTGGGTCCCTTATCTCCGCCGCAAACTTCCCCCACGGCCGCCTCCTCACCCCCCTATAATTCTTCTTAACTGGCTGTGACGGAGCTACCGCCGCCACTTTTGGAGGAGGCGCCGCCGTGAAATCCAAAATCACCGGGAACTTATGGGAACCCATTTCCCCCCAACTCTCACACAAGCCAGGTGACGGGCTTCTCCCGGAGCTGCCGCTACGGCACAAAACCGGAGGAGATGCCACCGGAGCATCAATGTCGTCCAGCAAGTGCCGTCGAATAGATTCAAGAAGAGCAAAAGCAGACATAACCTCAGCATTTCCGAACATCATTTTGAGTAATAACTTTTCTTTTTTCCGATTATTTCTTGCAAGCAGAGAATTGAAGAAGAAGAAGAAGAAGAAGAAGAAGAAGAAGAAAACTGAGACCGTTGAGCTGAACAGGGAGAATGAGGTATTTATACTGTTCGAGGTTTATGCATGCCGGTGGAACTATATATTTCGGTCTTTTATGATTGATAAACTATAGAATATAATTCTGGGCATTATATTCAAAAAAGTACGGATTTTGTAAGGCGTTTGGAGGTTCCATGTTGTTTCCATCTGAAGAAAAGTTTGATCGAAGAGAATAATTAAGCTAGGTTACGTTTTTGCAAACGTGGGAAATGGCCAGGAAAACCGAAAACCTTTCTTTTATACAGAAAGTGTTTTTATATTGACGGCTTCTAAATCGATCTACGATCGATAGATTAAGTGGGTTTGTCGTTTAGAGCCAAAATGGCGTCTAACATAATGCTGCCACATGATAATAAACATAAACTACGTTTCGATTAAATTAAGATTTCTTGCTTCTGCAGATATTTAGTAAAATACGAATTATGCTAGCTGCGCTATTGTGCATCAATTATATTATTATACATAGACCTCAGCTCGCTCAAACCTCTTCGTGGGCGTGCATGCGACTATGCGAGGCCGTGTTTGATTATATTCCAAAAATTGATCGAGCAAATGCTACTAATTGGCGCAAGCTAGCTAAACCCTTCCCACCAACGAACCTGTGCGTGTGAGGCAGTGTATGTACAATACATGCAATATTTTTATTTATTTATATTTTGAAAACACATGCAATATTAGTCCACCTAAATTTCACAAAGTCAATGTTATTAGTAGGACACCTTTACTCAGAAAGCATGTTCAGGTCAATGAATGAATTTTGAGGGAGTAGGAATGTTATTCATGGGAAATGGAATAGGATAGGATTTGTATTTCATTGTTTGGTTTAGTGAAGGAATACACTTTAGAATTGTTATTCTAGTGTTTAGTTGGTTTAAATAATAGAAATAGAATATATGTTTAAAAGATATAAATACCTTTATACAAAATAACAGATAACCAAGCAAACAGATTCTTAAGAAACAATGCAAAAAACTTTTTCCGTATGGATCAAGTCACTGTGTAGACTTAAAAGCTCTGATACCACATGTAGTTTTGCATATTCTCTTAATCTATGATATTTGATTTACTTTATTGCCAACAGAATAGTGGACTGATTGACTCAAATTTACGATCAGACAATCATTCAGATAGATAATCAGATATAACGGAATGCGGAAGACTAAGACAGAAAGTAAATGCATCACACAGGTTTGTTTACCTAGTTCGATACAGTGTGTATCTACATCTGGGAGACGATCACCGATGCGTCCAATCCACTAACTCATAATCCAATGTACAAAGGTAGAGAAAAACGATCTCACCCAAGTGCTCCACACAAGGTCAGTACCTAGTATACAAAGGTTTAGTGGATTGTTGAAGTCGGAGAGCCATGCATCCAGAAGTCCAATGAAATCCCTTCAATGGAGAGCTAACTCTGGTGCAGTCCGCTTCACTGACACAGTCCCACGTTGTTCCCACAACAGAGTGATCTTCGCGTCCAATCGTTTAAGCAGTGTTGATTCTTCTCAAGTTCATCTTCGTAATCACCATGAACTATATGTCTTGAGAAGATGCATAAAAACCAGAGATGTTTGTCTTTTCAATATTGAGAGCTGCGGTTTCAATCAATGCAACCCTAACTTCTGAAAGTATAAGTGTATATATACTTCTTGACTTGGCCACTCTCCAAATATAACTCTGGTTGTAAAAGGTAGGACTTGTGTAGCAAAAGATCTTGAATCTTTAAGGAGATTTAGTCCATACCTCAAGAGATGATTCGCTGATATTCTTTCCAAAATATTCATCTCATAAACGCATCTGCCAGCTTTTAGAAACTTTCCTTAACCATTCCTTTGACGGCTTGACCCAACGACGCTTCTGATGTCTGTACTGATCAATCAGTCTTCTTGAGTCTTGAAAGACGGTCAGACACCAAGCTAAACCCTCTCTTAATTTGTCATAATAATATTGCCAATTATATGTTGGGGTTTTTCACAAAAGATAAAACACTAACACAAAACATAACTTTTGAAATACAAGAAGATATCAAATTTCTCAGGTTATTTTTATGACAAATTCACCAAGGGAGTAACTTGAGATTTTAGTACGTAAAATTCTTTCGTAAGCTCTGCAGTAACTTAATCAAGAATCATATATCCTGACTATATATATATATATATATATATATATATATATATATATATATATATATATATATATATATATATATATATATATATATCCATCACCTCCTCTGTCTTCTTAAAACCGGAGTAATGAATGACGAATGAACCTAAGTCTCAGTTATGAAAATTCGTAAAACTTTTGTAACTTCTAAAAACGATTATTGACTAAACTAATGCATATGAAACTTTTTACATACTAAAAATCTCAAGTTATTCCGTTGGTGAATTTCTCATAAAAGCATCCTGAGAAATTTGACATGATTTTGTATGTCAAAAGTTCTGGTTTGATTACCTTTGTTGCTTAGTAAAAAAAATTTAAAATTGATAGGATAGTGTGTTTCAGACGTCGGAAGACAATAATCAAGTGTTTTTTTGTTTGTGCTAACTCTTAAGTTTGTTATATAAGAGTCATGTTCCTTTCAAGTTATACTAAAGTTATTGAAATGCTTTTAGAATTGAACAATCATGAAATAAAAGGCTAAGAAGTGAAAAATAATGTTGTGTAAGTGGTTTTGATATAAGAAGGAGAATAAAATGTAAATTTCCTACTTTACCCCTCGAATTTTAAATATTTTTTTAATTTTTCCGACCGTTTTAACAGTCGGGACCAAATGCGCCACTTCGTTCATAACTGAGGGACTAAAAATGGATACGGTCATGACTCAAGGATTGAGTCGGAAACTTGGGTATAACTCAGGGACCAAAGATGCAATTTTCCCTTTACATTATTATGTTTACATATGTGGATTGCATCATGAAACAATAAAGATACAACAATGTACATGACGGACCTTTACAATTCACAACAGCTTACATATTATTATAACTAAATATTATAAAGGCTTGTTTTCAACTGGTAGACCTGACCGATCTGAGTCGTTTATTAACAAGCGGGAGCCTTTAGGTTAGCAGTGATGTAAATGATCGATGTTAGACGCCATAGTTGCTATAAAATACTACAAAGCAACTCCATTGCAGATTTAGAATTGAAGCCGCCGCCAATATTAAAACACTTAGCTTTCTGCATAAAATTAAAGAAAGATTTTCCTAATAACCCACGTTTGTTGTAATATATAACCTTATTCTCTTCAAACTAATTTTCTTCATCCGGAAACTGCATGGAAGCTCAAAACGCCTTACAATATTCATGTTATCAATCACAAAAGCCCTCAGTATTTTCATCTGCGGGCGTTCATGAACGTAACCTTGAACCGTATAAATACCTCATTCATCTTTGTTTCTCTGATTTTTATGCTAAAGTTATGTCTGATTTTGCTCTTCTTGAATCTATTCGGCGGCAGTTGCTCGACGACTTTGATGCTCCGGTGGCGTCTCCCCCGGTTTTCTGCCGTAGTGGAAGCTTCGGTGAATCCGGGTGGTTGTCGTCGGTGGATGAGACGCCCACTGTGGTGGTCAAGGAAGAGCCAGAAATGGGTTTCTATAAGTTTCCGGTGATTTTGGATTTCACGACGGCGGTGCCTCCTCCGAAAGTGGCGGCGGCAGCGCCGGTAGGTCCGGCACAGCCAGTTAAGAAGAATTACAGGGGTGTGAGGAGGAGGCCGTGGGGGAAGTTCGCGGCGGAGATAAGGGACCCAGCCAAGAACGGGGCCCGCGTGTGGCTGGGGACGTACGAGACGGCGGAGGATGCGGCGCTGGCATACGACAGGGCGGCGTTCCGCATGCGCGGGGCACGTGCCTTGCTGAATTTCCCGCATAGAATCAACTCCGGTGAAGCGGAGCCAGTTAGAATCACAAGCAAGAAGAGATCTGCTTCAACGGACTGCTCCTCCTCGACAACATCGGAAAATATCTCATCTAAGAGGTGGAAGAAGACTGGTTAAGCATCAGTTGTTGTACAAAGTTAGTTAGTTATAGTTCTTTTAATCTGCAATAATAACTGCAGGCTCGCTCATTTCAGATTTTTTTAGAGTATTATTCTTCTATTCAAAATTAACCTACTTTTTCTCCTTGAAGTACAATACTACAATATCATTAAATTAGCCTAACTCCCTAAGCTATAGGGATTAAGGAATCTCATAACATGGGTAAATACTTAATTGCTTTAATTCTGGTTGCACTGGATACAATATTGCAAAGTAAATTGAGTGAAAACAAGCTGTAGACTCATTCAGATCTGCATGTTTTGGTAATTATTCTGTTTTCAATGTTACTCTGCAAATCTATTATTCCGAAGGCAACACT